ATGATTAAACGATATATGAACATGTTTGGCTCAAAAAAGTGTATGAATGCCTAGTGTCCGCTCGGCTCGACTCGAAAATTAGTGTTACAAAGCTCAGTTCGTTAAGCTAAACGAGTTCTATTTGTGTTCAAGATTGACTCGAGCTCGAGAATTATTAAGCTCGAGCTCGAGTTACAAGCTCGTATCGCTTACACCCCATGGATGCATAATCACTTCACTTCAACTTTAGAAAAAAATTGAACAACGATCAGCCTCTAACCTGCCAAAGATATCTTTTCCCATCAGTGTCCGTATCAAATTCTGAATATATATCACAAAATATAAACCTGATTAATTGTATTTCCAAAGATATAAAACACAATCTATCTGTCTGATGAACAGGATTTACCAGTGGGATAGAAATCAAGAATGCTTGAATCTTCAGCAGTCATGAGCGACTGATATGAAACCGGCAGAGCATGTGCACTATATGAACAGATTAGATTTAACACCATGAATGAAAACACTAACAAAACAGAAACCATTCACTCCTAAAAGAAATTCAAGAACGTAATTACCTCGTCGGCGGGAGGACTGCCATCAGCTGATCAAATGGTTTAAACGGCTTTCCTTTCTGAAACGTCCTTTTTGTACTTGAAAGACCTTTCAGATCAGAAGCAAAGGGGCCATAATGGTACGGAAAAAACCTGTTGAGGGGATGATTTGGTATCTACGATTATTGAATAGTTGAAAGCATGAACGTATAAACCAATTAACATTAACTCGATACCAATGTGCCTCACCATTTCCACGATGGAACGCCTGAGAAGTAATACAGAAGAACCCAACACAGTCCTTCGGTATATTTTGCTACCTACATAAAGGGGAAAAAATCATCTGTTTCACCGCACTAACAAAATACTTACTTCCATTACGCTAATCTGCATCTGGATCTTGGAAGATGATGAAAATGGACAAGTTTTTGTTGTTAAACGTATTGGTACGACAAAAAATGCATCATGTTGAATAGAAGAAAAGGCAGACATACCAAAATTTTCCGCATTTTTTCCATCTCTTCTACAGTTTCAGCTTTAAACTTGTGATTATAATACCAGTTCTTCCATCCATGATCACCAAATTTCACCTGATGAAATTTAGTTTAAACTCGGTGGGAAAACTAAAATCTGCAGAAACGACAAGCATGCTTGAGATAATTGAAGGAGCCATACCACGTCTGTAACAAGACCATTCTGGGATACATCTGACATCGCTCGAGCATAAGATTTCAGTTGCTCCTTCAACTTTTTAGTGTTCTCTACAATCTGCGAAAACATGCCATGTATCATATATATATGATCTGAAAACGAATTCCAAAAACCATAAGAAATGGAAAACATATCATGTATCATCATCATAAATATATATACATACATCGTGGTTGGGCAATCTCACGCTGCATGACGAAGCACCATCAGGAGACGAGTCCTCTTCTTTACCCCTCTATACAAAAGAATAGTCAATGCCCAAAATGGAAAACGTTAGCATACAAGAATGCAGAAATAAAACATAGATATTTCGGCAGCAATTATGAAACTTTACGGAAGTTTCATAATTACACAACCACCTTGATCATTATTGAGCCCACTGTATATACAATTTGGAAGGAACTTGGAGACCATTTTAGAGAAGTTAAGCATTAAGACCATCGATCTAACCTCGAGACTAGGAAAGCTAACTCAGGAACATAAAAAAAATACGGTGATGTTAATTAGAACGTAAAATAGGAGATTTAAATTATAGAACATACGGCATCTTCGCTTTTTGAAAGCATGCGTCTTAGGCTACTCTCACGAAGTTTTGATCTTTTCGTGAAAATTTTGTCTTCATAAACACCGACTGCAAGGATGAACTTTTCCACTCTTTTCAGCTTGATGTAACCACCTTTCTTGTCTTCGGCCTGTTTCCGTTTTTAACATGTTCAGGGAAAATGTAGAAACTAATTAATGCTACATTCGTCAACAAGATGCACACTTTTAACTACTGCATGTTAAACTAAGCTCTTTATGAAGTGTAAGAAAGTATCGTCGTATAAATCTGTCAGTTTTGAACCACGAATACTACACCAAAATTTGCAAAACCAAAAGCAACACTTTTATATATGAACCACGAATACTACGCCAAAATCTGTCACACCAACCTTTTGCACATCAACCAGATACCCTCCGAGATTCCTGAACTCTTCCTTGTACACATGAATCAGCAAATCTATCGCACCCTGACAAAGAATTATTAAAATTTAAAATTAAGAACTTCCCCCTCAAATGCTGCAAGGATCGTGATATCCCATGAACATTGGATCTTCATGCTTTGTAATCAATACAGATTTTCTGGGATATATGGAGCAGCTAAAAAGAAAGCATTCAAACCTCATGAATGTCTAAGCCGGGCATATGAGGTAGAAAATCGTTTCCAGAAAAGAAGCAGATGAAGATGAAATCATCAATCAGTCGTTCAATATCAGCTTCAAATTTATCAGGCAGATTCATCATCTTCAAATCAAGGTGCAGATATTCTCTCAGTATCCAAACATGAAGAAACTGCAACAATAAAGAACAATCAAACCAATCCTACAGTAGAGCAAGGTGCAAAGTGCAACCATTTATATTCAACATCGCACCTGGTAAGGCTTCTTCTTCACCAAAGACTTTCTCTTGCTAACTTTACAAGAAATATCAAGGCTGCTCATTCGTTCAGCCGTATCTTTCAAACCTTGGTTCAGTTCAAACTAAGCAGAAGCATGGCAAAAACATGTTTAAACCGTAATGAACAAAAAGTAATTTCAAATAAAACTAATCAACTGCGAGCCCTTCAAACCTGTTTAAACCACCCTCTACAATTCGCCACATTGGCTTCAGAGTTTCCAGCCGACAACAACTCCGTTGAGTTACTGGTTCTAGTATTACCTTCCACGAGAACGTTCTGACGATACAATAACTTAAATTAGATCTACGATGAAAGATACAATACAAAAAGAACTATATTGAAGGAATTAAAGATGTAACCTCTCGCAGAATAGAGAAATGAACTTCATGACTGGCCAGAGCCAGCATTATAAGGTCGGCATCCTGCAAACAAGAATATACATATATATATATAATATATTGAATTAGAAAGTTTCAAAGACCTCGACATAAAATGAATTTGTGTCCTCGACATAAAATGAATTTGTGTCCATCCCTTTTATATCACCATCAACATTTAACAGGATTCTACATTTGACTTAATCATTTAGAAGGAAGTGAGATTACGCATTAAACAAAAGAAGTAGTACAACAAAAGCTCTTTGGTTGACGATTGAAAAACACTATAAAATAGTCGGTTTAAATCTTTAAACTCGAAAATATGTCCACTTTTTTTGGAATTCAGGAATATATTTCTTCAATAAACGAAGATCGATTCAAAAGATGACGAAATTTAGTGAAACATGAATCTACACTTCGTTGAAAATATAAAACCATGAACCATGATTACACGCATTTATAGTAGAAATATAATCTGAGAAGTACGAAGTTGGTTGCATTTACCAGACCATACAGGACGTGGCTTGTATTGGGGTTGTAACCTGGGCAAGTACGCTGAAGCCGTATGAACGACATGATTTTATGTTCACCTTCACCAGGGGCATTTGAATCCGAAAGGATAACCTATACATACACAATCAACATTAGGGAAAAGTATGCGATGGTTTAGATTTCTTAATGTTTTAATCAACCAATTTCTGAGTTATGAAAAGATAACAAATGATTAACCTTTAGCCGTTTCCACGCCGGGTTGCTGGAGATCCTCAAACGAATGTAAGTTTGGAGTTGTTCTGATAACTGGGCCATGAACAAAGTGCCCGGAGTGATTACATTCGAATCAGAAACTTCCGATTCCTCTATTGGCAGAAGATCTCTACCTTCGAGTTCATACTGTCTTCGTAACCTTTCTTCTTCCTTCCCCTATACACATTAGTTTCAGCTAAAAATGAATATGGGCAACGTGAATGACGAACTGTACAGCATTAATAATGCGCTTGAGAGGTATTATGACTAATCCTTGAGATCATCCATCATTTGTATTTGCTTGAAGTTGAGCCAAAACCCATTAAACCTACACGATATATGTGTATGTGTGTGTATTGCAGGTACTTGTAGAAGAAAAACGTACAAGGATCTCACGGTCTTTGGCGTTTCTGAATCTTCTGGTTCGTTGCTGATTCATTTTTGCTCTAGGAGCAACCCCATCTGTTTGAGCACACTTTGAATGTAAAATATTCCCATTTAGATAACTAAATGTATATTTATTATATCTATATGTATATATATATATATATATATAATTTGAAGCTGTGATCTTTGAATATCTGAAGTCAGAAACGGATTTTAACCTACCAATGGCCATGAACAAAAGCTTTCTGGGTCTAACTATCTTCAAGATCCTATCTATGTACTCAAATATGCTTTCGAATACTTCCTCGTAAGTCAACTGGAAGAAAATATAAACAAAAAACACCATTTTCATTAACAAATTACAGAGTTAAACTTTCTATGTATGTTTCTTGATTCCAGAAAAATAAAATTAGATACGATTCTTGAAACTCACTTACTGCATATTTAATGTTGTTTATATATATGTATATATATATATATATTCTTTATGCATTAACTTTCTTGGATTCAATCGTATCTCCAAGAATATATGCTCTGGATTTAAGACGGTGAACGGAAAAAAGAAGACATGCCTGTTTAGCAAGAACGTCATCGTCCTCGGGATGAAAACATGGGTGTATGATCCCATTCATATCAAAATAAAGATTATCGAATTCACGGCCATTTGGGTTGGGCAGAGTTCCGTCGTCTTCCTCCGCCTTCTCAACTGCATTCACCACTATTTTTGGGTACTTGTCCACCAGCCACCGGTAAAACGACGGCACACCCATATCTTTATCTTCTTGGTGAAGACACAATGCAGCAGCTTGTTTCTTGTATTTCTATGGCGCAGAAGGAAGAAAACGAGGGTTTTGAGATGGGTTTGCGACTGTCAATTTGTGTGGGTTCCCGATAGTAAGCGGCTCCAGTACAGCTACTGAAAGAAATGATTACGCTGTCAACGACTCTTCAAAGAACGACTCTCTTTCGTTATCTATATCCCCTCAAGAATCGCCCTCAAAAACTGAAAATCGCCCCGACGACGATTGAGTGTTGACATTTGTTTCGTATTTTAGTGAGACAACTTATGACGTAATAATTCATTATTATTTTGTTTTTATGATAAATATAACATATATAAATTTTATAGCAATTCAAACATTTTTACTCTCATAAACCTCTTAAGTGTTTGAATCACTACAATTTTATTGATAATACTACAAGATTTATATATACACTACAGTTGGTCTTAAATCGTCCCCTATTTCTTAAAAATACCCTTTAATTGTCAAATCGATTTATACACTAAAAGACAAAATAACGGTCAAACTACGTAAATCAAATATAATATCTGATTTTTATCCCCCAAATCAGATACGAATAATTTTTTTTCGTATCAACAATTAGTATAAAATATTAACATTCGGTGTTTATAAAAAAATATATTTCTTATAAGAAAATATAAGAACATTCGTTGGTTAATTTATGCATTTCAAAAAAAGTGGTAAAAATTATAAATGTTCACGTGGTTTCATATTGTTTTAAAAGTTGTCATGGTAGATTGTGTTTACGGATTACAGGTTGTGAAAGTAAAAGTGTTTTATTTTATAGAATATAATCATTACATTTGGTCCTAAAACGGTTAAAAATCAGTTTAAATTGTTCTCGATTTATTAAAAACACTCTTTTTTGTCAAATCGATCTATACACTAAAATTCAAAATACCGGTCAAATTTGAAGGCTGGATCTCCTCCGGAGGAAGATCCGGTGAGGTGGGAAGAGATCCCGATATACGAAACAAATAGTGTTTGGTCTTCTAAAGCAGATAGATGTGAGCCCCACAAATTAATTTTAAAATTGTTACTACTTTTTGTACTATTTTGGTCAAAATTGGCTAGGATCGCCCCCAATGGTTAAACCATGCCCCCAGGCCCGATTCATGTTGTTGTTTAGGTAAAACTTGTAAAAAAAATAGTTATTTTGTTAATACATTATGTATATTTTGGTCATTTTCGTGATTTTCCCTTAAATAAATAGGCGGTCGGAGGAGAACATTATCATCATCCCACCAACATCCATCACTAGAAACACACCCCCTTCCGGCATTCCGCCATTCACTACTGTCTGCCGCCACCTACCACCATCCAACTCCGCCTCCGACCACCGTCCATCGCCACCTACCACGTCTATCGCCACCTCCCACCATGTACCGCAACCTACCAAGGTATGCCATCACCGACCACCGTGTGCTACCACGTAGAAAATACTATTTAATTAATTCTCTAATTTTTAAAGTTATGTAAAAGATAAATTCTATCCACTAAAGCTTAAAGAATTTGGTTTGCACACTTATCTTAAAGAATAGACACCTTTATGTCTAATCATTACCTTTTGCTTTTCTTATTTTATTTGTCGATCATCGTTACTTAATAAGGTTTTCTAACCCCACCCCCTCCTACGCTCTTCTCCTACATTTTTTATACCCTCTCTTATATATTATTTTTCAGTTTTAACCTTTTAATATTTTCAGTTTTGATCCTTCAACTTTTATAATATTTTGTTATTATATTTTTTATGTTTTTAATTTTTAATATAGATTATAATTATATAAATTAATTAACTTTATATTATTATTAATTAATAAA